GTCTTCTTAATGACTTTTTTCCTTTCTTCATGTATGATGTTCTTGATCTTCTGGTCTTCTGTCTTTAGTGTTTAATGTATCAAATCTGTTCTTCAGATGATCTCTAAATTCAGATGATTCTAAAGTCAATGAATGTAGTCAATTTAATTTCTGTGTATTCTGTCTGGTGAGTTCCATGTGTATTCTTTCATATTAAGTACAAAGTATTTGTAATGAATAAGTTATTGGTCTTGCAAAATTCTATCATGTGATCTCCAGCATCATTTCTGTATTTGCCCACCGCTGACCCTTCTTCTGTTTCCAACCTTCACATACCAATACCTAGTAATTTTCAATACCTCTTGATAGCATGTTTGATCAATTTTAGACTGAAGAACCTAACAGAATTCTTCAATTTCACCATCACTAGTTTTAGTGGTTGGTGCACAACTCTGAATATTAGTAGTATTAACTTGTCTTCCTTGTAGGCATACAGATATTATCCTAGTACAGACATCATTATATTTCAAGGTAGATCTTGAAATGTTCCTTTTGATAATGAATGCCATGCCATTTCTCGTCAATTTGTCGTTCCCAGTAAACTGTATGACTGATATATTCAAAGTGGCCAATACCAGTCCATTTTGGCTCACTAATACCTAGATCAATCTTTATGCATTCCATTTCAATTTTGACAACTTCCAATTTCCTAGTTTCATATTTCATACATTCCATGTTCTGATAATTTAATGGCTATTTGTAGCTGTTGTTCCTCATTTTGAGTTATATTCCATAAGCAAATGAAGGTCCCAAAAGTTTGACTTCATTCGCATCATCACTGTCAACTGTACTTTGAGGAGGTCGCTCTTACCCAGTCATATTTTGAGTGCCTTCCAACCCAAAGTGCTCACCTTCCAATACTATATCTGACAATTTCCTGCAGGTATTCACAATGTTTTCATCTTCCGACAGTGTATGAGGCAATGTTCCACTGTTTTCACAGTGGCTAAACTTTCAAACATTATTCACCTCTTTCTTCCTAGACTGAGTTAGTCTGGAAGCTCAGCTGAAACCTGTCTAGCATTGGTGACAGTGTTGGTATTTAAAAATACAGGTGGCATAGCTTCCAGCAGCACAGCAACATGCAAGGCACCACGTATGAGAAACTGATAAATGAGTGGTGGGCAATAGAAGTAAATACTGTTATAAATACAATCCCGCAAAAAATGTGATCGATATGCAGATGCATAGATACGCAGGCTCAACAGGTGTGGGAGGGAGAGCAGAAGTACACCCACAAGTATATGTAGGTTTGACAGCAGATAACCATATATGGGTATTTACTTTAAAAAAATTTTTGTTTTTAACTTTTTATTGGGAATTGAGTGAAGGTTTACTGAGTAGATATCTGTTTTACATTCAATAGATCAGATCATATACTGCATTTCCTTCCAATGACTGAAATAGATCAGATCATATACTGCATTTCCTTCCAATGACTGAAATCCCTTCAGTGTAATATCATTTGTCATACTTCTTCCCTATGTAAGTTTTCCTCCTTCCCCAACCCTTCTGAATTTTGTCCCTAGTTAAATGCTCCCCTTTTGAACAGTGTGCATACCTCACTAGTGTTGTTGCCCAACTCCTACATATATATTTACTGCTTGCTTGAAAATTGAGTCACAGGTTGTGTTTAGTTCCAGTCCTGAACTGAAGGGTGACTGAGAGCCATAGTCTCAGGTTGCTTTGTATCTTTCTGACCGGTTAGCCTGCTCTTTTATATAATTTTGACTTTTGTTCTACATTTTCTCCCACTTGATCCAGTACCTTCTAATGTGATTCCTTTCAGAGCAGTTGGTAACTGCTAGTTCTTCTGGTTTCATAGTCATGGAGACTGATGATCACATGCTCCATTAGTCCACTGGACTAATTGCTTCCAAGTGTCTTCAGTTCTCATCACTGTTCTTGCCCCCAGACAGAGTCTAATAGTTGCCCCTTAGATGACCTTTCATGAGCTTTTAAGATCCCAATTGTTATTCACTGAAGAAAGATGTAGAACATTGTCTTTGTGAATTATGTTATGCCAATTGACTCCAGTATCCCCTGAGACATGAGTATTTACCTTTTCTTCAAGTATATCCAAGAATAAAGGGGGCAGAGTTATGAAAGTTTCTTAGACATAACCAAACACTGGGAAACAAGTTCCTGGGCCTGGGGTGTCATAACCATAGTCACACCAAAGTCAACTGACATAACACAGTCTACAAAAGTAAAAAAAAAGATGTTCTACATCTTACTTAGCTGAATAGCAACTAGGATTTTTAAAGCTCACGAGCAGAGGGTGGAAAGAAGAGTAAAAAAAATTGAAGGCACATGGAAACAATTAATACAGTTGGACTAATGGACACAAAAAGGTAAGTTTCCATGACTCTAAGACTTAGAAGAACTAGATGATGCCCAGCTACCACTACCAACTGCTCTGAAAGGAACCACATTAGGAGTTCCAGGATACAGTGGGAGAAATATGGAGCAAACTCAACATTTAAAAAGAGACCAGGCTAATTGGTTGGATAGAGATTTGCTGGACAGAGACTATAGCCCTAAGTCACTTTTCAGGTCTGGAACTGAACTCACCCCAACTTCTCAATTCTCAGCCACAAAACAGACAGATATACACAGAAAAAAATAACATTAGTAAGGTCTGCACAACTTAGAATAATCAACTATTTGATATCAAAAGGGCAGCATTTACCCAATGACAAAATTTAGAAAGGTTAAGAAAGCAGCAGCAATGGAAAGAGGAAACACAGGGAGGAAGCAAGGGAAGCAACAGTGCACTGAGGGAAATGGAATCAGTGAGAGGAAGCAAAATGAGGACGAATTGTTGAATGTAAACCAGATAATCTGCTCTGTAAACCTTCACTCAATGCACAATGAAAAGTTAAGAAACAAAGATGAAGGTAAAGCATCTGAAATTCTTTTTCTTGATTACAATACAGAGTAGTTCTCTGTCTAGCAATTCTCTCTGTAATTTCAAAAGGCTTCCAACCAGTCCACCAATGGATGGATGAATGAATCAATAAAATGTGGTATATATCTAATGGAATACTACTCAACCAGTAAGGAAAATGAAGTCTTGATATAACCCGAAGTATGGATGAAGTTTGAAAACATTATGTTAAGTGAAATTAAGTCAATCACAAAAGGGCAAATAATGTATAACTTTACTTATATAAAAAGACAAGAACAGGCAAGTGTATAGAGACAAAAGTTTATTAATGGTTACCAAGGATAAGAGGAGGGAAAAGGGGGTTATTGCTTATGGAGTACTGAATTTTGGTTTATAGTGATGGAAAAATCACATTGATTAAGGGTAAAGCTGCACTATTGATTTTTGTAAGTGCTATCAATAAGTTCTGGACGTGTAAAAAGCTTAATTGGCCAAGTACGTGACATTTATAGTAATTATTTTTTTTTAAAGTAGTAATGCTGAGCTGTTTATGTACAACCAAATATCTCATGGGGTTTGTTTCTTTGATTTGGAGGCTTAGTATCATGGTTTCATGGGACATCCAGTTAACTGGCCTAATACAAGTTCATTGTTTCTGTTCTACGTCCTAGCTCTCTGTGTCACTTGGGGTCACTAAAGCTTGCAATCAGCCATCCAAGGCACAACAATTGACCATGATGACAGGGCTTCAAAACGTTCATGGGGAAATGGAACTAAAGGATGATGGAATGTTTTCATGAACTTTTTGAAGTCACCTCACATTTGCCTAGAGCAATAGAACAAGGAGAGTCAGGAATAGGAGGGAATGTGGTTAATCCTCTCTTTTGCCATGAGACTAGAAAAACTGGATGGCACTCAGCTACTGTTACTGAACATTTCAATCAAATATTCTAGATAAGAATCCGGATCAAAAATGGGAAAATGCAGAACAGTTTCAAATTCTCTTGGATTTCTGATTTTCTGTGAAACTACTGTCCTAAAATAAACTTTAAGCCAAAAATATTCTCTATATTTGCCTTACAAACAATAATTTAGCTTAACTACTAACTAAATAATAGTTCTAAGGATTGTATTTATAATGTGTTTTATAGTTAGATGAGATATAATGATGCTTATCTTGTATCGCAAAAATTAGTGCCTTGCCAAACCAATTCTGTTAAGTGCCATCAAGTCAGTTCTGACTCACAGAGGCCCTGTACAGGGTTATTGATGAGTGGTTGGTGGGTTTGAACCATTGACCTTGCAGTTAGCTGCCCAGTGCTTATCCTATACCACACCAGGACTCCAATCCAAACAATGTTGTTGTTGTTAAGAGCTATCGAATCAGTTTCAACTCATAGTGACCCTGTATAGGGTTTCCGAGGTGCAGTTGGTGGGTTTAAACCACCAACCTTGCAGTTCAAACTGATCTTGCAGGCCAGTACTTATCCTACAGTACCACACAGCTTAAATCAAGAGAACTTCTGCCTGGAGCATTGTTCTCTTTGAAGATTGACCTCTATGGGACCAAACTGACCATATCCACCTGAAGATTTGCTAGGAATCTTAGGAGATATAGTGGGTTGTTTGGGAGGAACAACTTAAAAAGTGGGTGAAGGTTGCACAGATAGATACATGAATTTGTGTATGTTTTTGCTGTGCATATATTCTCAACTATGACAAAATATTATATTTAAAAAATGTGTTTAAAAAAGATATCAGTAAGTCTTTCAACTAAATCAAGGCCTACTGAACAGAATTAGAAAAAGAATGGATTGTATTAACAGGTTTAACAGCCATCACATATTACTGTGTGTTAAAACCAACAAAAACATGAAATGACCAGCTGTTAGTACTAAAGGTTTCTCCTTATTTCTAAACTTCACATTTTCTAATGAAGAGAACAAAGAAAACAGGTTTTATAAAAAGTTTAGCAGTTTCCCAGAAAAAGAGAAAGTCTTAACTTTGGAAGAAAGGATTTCCAAGAGCTCTGGAGATGTGTAACAGGCATGCAAAGGAGAGATCTTACTACCTGGTTGTTCACGTTAACGTCTATGCTGGGAAGTGAGGCTGCCAAAGGAGTGGTTTCCATCTCAAGCTGTTTGAATTTCTCCGAGACATCTTTCAGGGCTGAGGGGGAAAAAAAGGCAAGCTGGTGGTGAAGGTACAGGCTTAAATTTTTCTTTCCCAAACCCTATTATCATAAATTAAAAGTAAAAATCTAGATTGTTGGGATAAAATAGATCTATTTTCTATTCAGTTTGTTGAAAGATTTCAATTTGTAGTCCATCAGTTCCCAGAGGTTTGTTCTTTGCCAATGCTGTCAACGCATCTTGGACTTCTTCCTTCAGTCCAATTGGTTCTTGATCATACACTACCTCTTGTTTTTTTGGTAGTGACTCTGTTTATTTCTTCTATCTTCTTTTGATGCTTTCTGCATCATTCAGTAATTTGCCCATAGAATCCTTCAACCTGAAAGTTGAGGCTTTATTTTAATTTTTTTTCAGTTCTTTCAGCTTGAGAAATGCTGAGTTTGTTCTTCCCTTCTGGTTTTCTAAGTCCAGGTTTTTGCACATTTCGTTATAATACACCACTCTGTGTTTTCGAGCTGCCCTTTGAAATTTTCTATTCAGCTCTTGCACATCCTCATTTCTTCCATTTGATTTAGCATCTTTATGCTGGAGAGCCAGTTTCAGAGTCTCTTCTGACATGCTTTTTGGTCTTTTCCTTCTTTCTTGTCTTCTTAATGGCCTTTTGCTTTCTTACTGTATGAAGTTCTTGATGTCATCCCACAACTCTTCTGGTCTTCAGTCTTAGGTCTAATGCATCAAACTTATTCTTCAGATGATATCTAAATTTAGGTGGAGTATGTTCAAGGTCATATTTTGGCTCTCATGCACTTGTTTTAATTTTCTTCAGCTTCAGCTTGAACTTGCTTGTGAGAAATTGACGGTGTGTTCCATAGTCAGCCTCTGGCCTTGCTTTGGCTGGCAATATGGAGCTTTCCCACATGCTCTTTCCACAGATGTAGTCAATTTGATTTCTGTGTATTATACCTGATAAGGTCCAGGTGTATGTGTATCTTGTATGGTGTTTACGAATTGGGCTGAGAACTGCAAGGCCAGCAGTTTGAAACTACCAGCTGTTTGGCGGGAGAAAGATGAGGCTTTCTGCTCTTGTAAAGGTTTGCTATGAGTAGGAACCGACTCCACGGCACATAACCACCCCACCCCCATTTGCAATGAAGAAGTCACTGATCTGGCAAATTGTACCATGTGATCTCCTGCAGCATTTCTATTGCCAAGGCCACATATTTCAACTACTGATCCTCCCTCTTTATTTCCAACCTTTGCATTCTGATAGCCAGTAATTATCAATACATCTTGATTGCATGTTTGATCCAGTTCAGACTGAAGAAGTTGTTAGAATTCTTTTATTTCATCATTACTGGCTTTAGTGGTGGTAGTTCGGAGGTATCTAAATACCATTCTTCTGAAATCTTTTCCAGCCAATTCCAATAACTCTTTTTCATCAAAAACATTTTGTAGCTATACCTCTTGGTCATTTATTTGAGCTACCCTCTCTTGTTTTTTCATGAGAACAGATTGTCAGTTGCCTTCAAGGCATTGTGGTACTGTTGTATTTGTATTAAATGGATGGGTGTATATTGGTGTATTCTTAGGAACTCACCAACTACCTTCTGGCAGGTGTAATCAAGAGATCAACTTGTGCACTGTTCTCTGATGCTCATGTAGCTCTGTTCAGGGTGAATTTAGCTACCATCGGTTGTTGTCACTGATCTGGTGGATAGCCCAATTGCTAGTGCTGAAGTGGGTATGGCTAGTTACTTTGTCTCTGTGAGTCACAGGCAGACTTCTGCAATGCAATTTTTTTTTTTTTTGGTCTCTTAATCTGCTCACAGATACTCAAAATGGCTGTGTCTGGTCCTTTCAGACACCTCAAATCAGAAGTCACCTCCTTTGTTGCCACTTTTTTTCAACTCTCTTTCCTTGTAAGTACTCAATCCACTTAGTTATCTGAATCTCAGAGTTCCAGGACCCTCCTCTGATTTTCCGTATCCTTGCTGTAGAAGGTCTGCACAGTCTTTCTGCCTTGTCTGCCATCTTGCCCTGCCTCCCTGTAAATCTTAATGGGAACAGAAAGCCTCATCTTTCTCCCACGGAACTGCTGATGGTTTTGAACTGCTGTCCTTGAGGTTAGCAAACCAACTCATAACCATGACACTACTTGCTGTTGTTGTTGTTAAGTGCCATCGAGTTGGTCCCAACTCATAGCAACCCTGTATAGGGTTTCTGAGGAATCGATGGTGTGTTTGAATCGCTGATCCTGCCAGAAGAATCAAATTGGCAAGAGCCACATAAGTAGAAACGATTTTGAAATGACACATGCTTGGCAATGAGACTCAATAGGAACACCTATTGAGTCTCATTGCCTGTCTAAAGATTGTTATGTTTTATGATCAAGACAATACACAAATATCTACAAAACTTCAACCTGCAATTTTCTTCTCCTTTTAACCTCTGTCAACATTTTAAAAATTAAGGAATACAGCATTTTTCAATAATTATTTATATTTGTGAGTCTGGGCAAAAACTATCCTCATTAGTAACAAAATATTTTCTAGAAACTAATAGAATGTCCAAACATTCAATCTTGTACCCCAGAAAATCTTCCCAGAAATGGTCCTCCTTGATTGGTACTCAAGAAACAAAGTAAAGCTAAAGTTTGAAAACTCATAAATGTTTAATAACTTATAGACATTTAAACATTTAATGGTATCAGTTACGTCAACCTAAATATTTCCATGTATCCTTAAGCTAAAAAGAGGCAGAAGGCATAATTATTCCAAATTCAATTTAAAATGTCAACTATTGCATAAAATACTCCTTTTAGAAACTGATTTAAATATCTCATTTCAAAGAAGATAAAATAAAACGAAGATACCATAGGTCTAATACAGACATTTACTTACTCCCACATTCAACTTCAAGTTCCTGGAATCCAGTCTGCTTGGGAGTAAAGTGAATTTCCGATGGTGCTTGAGATGGTTGCATAGCGCCAGGTGTCCCAATTCTGTCATCAATGGTTGTTTCCAGTAAGTCTGGGCTATCTAGCAAATTAATATTCAGAGGCAAACTGTAAAGGTAAAAGAAAACTTATTTGAACTAAGAAATTTATCATAAAAAGAATTTAAAATATTAATAAAATTCTTTGTTGAAAAAAAAAAAAGGAAGAGTTTATATCTCAATTGTATTATTCATATGTCACAAGCTCTTGGCAGTACCAAAAAGGAAAGCAGGACAAAGTGGTCCCTAGAGGTCTGCAGAGGGTCCGTCTCAAGTCTTCAGTAGAGTATCAATCAGTGCCTGAGTGTGAGGAGACTCTCTGAAGCTGGGTTAAGAACCATACGAAAGGATGAGAGGGGGCCAGTGGTACTCAGAGTAGGCCATGGTCCGTGTCTGTTTCCATAGAAAGACGAAAAGAACTTCATCACAGTGTTCAGGAAATTTTACCTCAATAGTGGAAAATTATTAACCCAAGACTGAGCAATATTCCAGACACATCTAACAAATCATACAAGCAAGACCCAAAAGGATCAAACTGTTTTGAAGTAACTTAACTGAATCCCAACACAAAGCTTAGGGCGATTTACAGAAAAACATCCAGCATCCAACAAAGTAAAATTTAAAACGCCTGACAACCACTCAAAGATTGCCAGGAAAAAAGAGACAGAAAAAGGCAACTCACACTGGGCTATGTAGAATAATACATCAATTAAAACTGATCCAGAATATTTGAAGAAACAGTGACTGATTTTTTCCAAGTTTGTGAAGACTATAAATTCATAGCTAGCTCCAAGAATCCTAGCAAAATCCAAACATAAGAAACATAAAGAAAACTATACCAAAACACATCATAATCAAACTGCTTAATACCAGTGATAAGAAAATCTTAATTGGATAAGGGCACTGAGTTTCAGCTAATGTTACAGTAAATATCACAACAGATCTTCTCAATAGAAGCAATGTAAGCTAGAACATAATAAAAAGCTAGACGATAATAAAGCAACATCTTAAAAGTACGGAAAGAAAAAAACTTCCAACCAATATTTTATATCCAGTAAAAATAAATTTAAAACTAAAAGGAAATGTAGATTGTACCCAAGAGAAACAAAAACATGTTCAAACAAAAACTTGTATGCAAATGTTCACAGCAACATTATTCGTAACAGGTCAAGCATAGACACAATCCAAAGCCCCGTGTCAAATGATGAATGAATGGACAAATAAAGTGTAGTATATCTGTGGCGCTGTAGGATTAGCACAAGGTCGGTGGTTCAAACCCACCAACTGCTCTTCAGAAACCCTACACAGAGTCACTATGAGTTGGAACCAAGTTGGTGGCACTTAGCAACAACAATCCAAATTAAGGGTGACTACTGGTTGTTTGGCACTAAGAACAATGAAGTCAGGGAATGACAGGAGGATTGTATGTTGGCTCCATCACTCTGGCTGCATGCAGTGTGACTAGAGGAGGTCAGACTGGAGGCTGTCATAAACAAGGCTATCAGCCTTAGTCTCCTCTCTCTACTCCTCATTAAGCCAATAACCACACCATATCAATTCTATAGGAACCCTGGTAGTGCATGATCAAGCACTTGGCTACTAGCCAAAAGGTCAGAGGCTCAAACTCATCAGTCAGCAGGAGGGAGAAAGATGTGGTGGCAATCTGCTTCCACAACAATTACAGCTTTGAAAATCATATGGGATGGTTCTACTCTTTCCAACAGGGTTGTTGTCAAGTGTTGTTGAGTCAGTTCCAACCCATAGGGACCCTGTATAGTGTAGCTATGAGTAAAAACCAACTTGATGTCAAGAAGTTATCAATTTCACATCCATAATACTTCTCAAATACATCTATTTAGCTCTCTACACTCACAGAATCCAAGTTCTGGCCTTCATCATCTCTCTGCAAATTACTCTCAATACAAATCAAATCCATTGCTTTCAAGTCAATTCCGACTCATAGGGACTACAGATAGAACTGCTCCACAAGGTTCCAAGGCTGTGAATCTTTACAGAAGCAGACTGCCATATCTTCCATGAAGAGGTTTGAACCGCTGAATTTATGGTTAGCAGATGATTGCTCAACACTATGCCACCACAGTAACATTATATAATCACTATAACAGCCTTAGGCTAAGCCATAGGATAAGCAATCAACCAGAAGGTCAATTTGAGCTGCAAGATTGGCAGTTCAAATCCACCAGCTGCTCCTCAGAAACCCTATACAGAGTCACTATGAGTCAGAACCAACTCTTTGGCACTTCCCAACAACAAAAACAGTCTCCCATATTGTATTCACTCTAATCCCACTGCCATCCATCTTTCACCTGACATAAAAGAGATCTTCCTAAAATACTATTCATGTTGCACGTACTTGAGACTCTTTCATTGTTCTCTCCTACCACAATACCTGAAATGTTTTGCATGTCATATAAACCTGGTAAGGTCTGCCCCTGCTTACTCTACTGTAGCTCACACTGTGGTGCTCTGACAAACTCTCCCCTCTAGGATCAGGAGACTCATTAGCCCAGCTTTGTGAAGGTTGCACTAACAGCTCATGGCCAAATCCTTCTTCGGTCCTCACGCAATGACTGTTTAAGGTAGGGGTGCCTCAAGTCAGGATTTATCTGAAGGGTCTTACTGCTCTGACACTCCTCAGGATCAGCTGAAGTCTCTATT